AAAGATTTTTCTGAGTATTTTCTACTCAACATACTTTATGTTTTACGTTAGACCAACATATAAAATTAATATTTTAAAACCATGTATAAATACACTTGTTATTTTAAGTCAACTTAAGAATGTTGGCTAGCTCTGGCCAGTGTTCTCAGTGGTTAGAGCATTGTCTCATGCACCAAATGGGTCTCAGGTTCGATTACTGGTCACTTACCTGGGCTTCAGGTTCATTCTCCAGCCCCGGTGAGAGCATGTATGGGAGGCAAAAATTGATGTGTCGTGCTCACATTAATATTTCTCTCTCTATCTTCCTCTCTCCCTCCATCCTACTCTACCTAGAAGTAATGGAAAAATATCCTCAGGTGAGGATTAAAGAAAAAGAATGGTAACTAGCCCAATAAAGCTTGAAATTAACTATCAATTTTTCAGATGCCTAAAAAGATCTTATTTGTGTTTTTTATGGAATATGTGTGGTTTCTTGCAAAGGCTCCCCACAAAGTCAGTTTTTGAAGCCCTAAAACACATGTGTCAAACACAAGGCCCGCGAGCCAAATCCGTCCCACCAGGCCTTGCAATGTGGCCCGCACCGCGCTGTCATCACTGCACTCCGCTGCGTTTCCATCACAATGACAGTTTATGACTGTTCAGTAAACCATTCGGCCTGCGATTTAGGCTGGATTTTAGATTTTGGCCCCTTCTCTGATTGAGTTCGACACCCCTAGGGTGTCGAAAAATGGGCCTAAAACAATGATTTTTTTTTTGATTTTTTTTTTAGTAATAGCATACCCAAAAAGGTGAGTTTCCAGTAAGGATAGCTAAACTTCTATAAATATATACTAAGTCTAGCTAGCATAGGTCTTGAAGTTTAAAATGCAATATTATTTTTTAAACTTAAGAAAATTATCACTACAGAGAGGAAGTCCTTTGTAACAAGCATTCAAGATGTGGCTTTGTCTGGCCATATGATGTCAAAGAAAGGGTGACCTCTGAAGGGATTATATGTCTGAATGGTCATTTAGGCAAAATATACATTTCATTTCCTCTCTGTCATCTTCACCGTCTTCAGCACTTGACTAACTTGTAATAGAAAAGGATAGCTCCAATATCTCCCCAAACAGCTCACTTTATATTGAAATAGCTTTTTCTGTTCAATATAATATCAATCGGCTATCTATCCTATAGCACACAGTTAGTTACTGGTCCTAGCACCAAACAGATTCCTTGAAACCACATTTACTCCTGTTTCTCATGATAGACACGACATTTGCTTCAACATTCTATGTGCCTTGGGTTTTCAACTCAGAGGAACTGTTGAACTTATAGAAATAGATCTGGAAATAGTATATACAGTAGTGAGAATTGAAGTCCTATGAATTAATGAGTTCTCAAAGACAAAGCATTAGTGGGAAATATCACACTATTCTGCTGTAAAACGTTATGTGACTGTAAATACATTCCTCAACATCATTTAATCATCCTGCACATAATAAATTTTTACCTTTGAATTCCCAAATATCTTCACTAAACAAATTTTGTCAATTTTTAATGTTGTTATAAGTTAGTGCCTCAACTGCTAGAATGAATACAGAGAGAGATAGAGATAAAGAGATAACTGGATATAGACAGATATAGAGGGCAATACATAATATACATATTATCTACATATAATATACATTTTATTATATATAAAATATTGCTATCTGTTTAAATCTGAAAATATAGCATGTTCAATACTCCATACCAAGAACCTTTAAATATTCATCTCTAATATAGGATTAATGGCTAACTCGTATTTAATTTTATTATATATTATTTTATTCGACCTCTGTTGTATTAGAAGATAATATTACAAATTGTTATATTGATAACAATGAAAACAAGGACAATAGCAGCTCACTAAAATCTAATTATATTACTCTTTTACATTAACAGTCTGGCCAGTCCAGGCTGGAAGAAACACTCTGCCCATGTTTCTGCTATCTTTTTACTCTGTCATAACCTACAGTACATTATCTTCACCCACATGGTTTAAATTGGCTTATTAATACCCCATCTATACCCCATAGAAGGATAGAAGGAAAAATTAGAGTGGAAGTAATTTCATTTTAAGGAGCATGACCAAAAAATTGAATACATCAATTTATTCACATACCACTAGCCAGTATTTCATCACATGTGCACATCTAGCTGTGCATTAGGGAAGGTAAAGCAGTTTCTCTATCTTTGAACATATAGACAACTAAAGTTGTTGGAAAGCTGAGAGAGAAAAAGAGTTCTATTATTTCAATTAAAAAGAAGATAACTGATAATGGAGAACAGTTAGTTGACTTTTCCATTATTTCCTTGAAACATTTAGTTTCATGGCCTGTTGCCGGGTGTTCCCCAGCTTAGAAGTCTTCCAGGGGCATGTGGAGTGTGGGGTCAGGGAGGGCTTCAGCTGTCATGTTTACCATAATGCCATGGCTCGTCTAAAGTACAAAGAGTGTAAGAAGAGGGAAAACGAGAAAATAAATAAGGCAAGATTAAGATGCCAGAAGGAAAAACATTTTGGCACGTAGACAACCCTATAGAACTAAGTAGACTGTTTTTCAGTCACTAAAAGAGAGGAAACGAATCAGGTTAGACTCCACTGAGGAGGCTTCATTCCCTTCAAGCAGACATAGTATCCAACCTTTTTATTCATAACTACCACCACCATCTGTACACACTACCACCTGTCTCAGCACACAGCCCCTTGTAATACCAACCTGAGGGGCAAGAAGGCAGAGCACACATCCCAGATACTGCCTTTCCCTCATTTTCTTGAGAGTGGTCTTTGTTAACAAATTTATATATTTTACTATATCCCTTTCTTTAAATGAAGATATACCTTTTTCATATCACCCTCTATTATATTCAACTGCACAATTATTTGGCTAGAATACAGACATATGTATTATTGACAGAGAGAAAGGGACTGCATGGATGAAATAAAAAGCAACAATAATCTACCTCTTAACATCTATGAACTTGTGAACACACAGGTGCATATACACTTCTTATTCATACATATCCATGGGGAAGGATGGAGCACAAAATGAATACTTTCAAGACACTCTAATATGTATATATAGATATAGATATAGATATATAGGTGTCTAAAAATGTCATAGTGAATATTTAAGCTTAATAACTTTAGAAGGGTAGAGCTACCAACTTTTGAAAACACAATTTGTTTAATTATTTGCATGTCATTTACACTTGCTTAACTTTGTAAATTTTCAAAGGTAAATTTTAATTTTTGTCACTGCCATCTTGAGAGGCCCAGAAACAAAAAATGAAACATTTAAAATGTATTACTTAAAATTCACAAAGCTATACAGGAGAAGGAACATTAAATAATTCTATGTTTAAGTGATAATCCTTATTATTTGTGGATTTTATTCTTCTGAAATTATTAAAGCTTACAATTGCATTATGGCATTTTAGACTCCTGTATACATACATATTAGATTATCTCGAAACTATTCATTTCCTTCCCCATGGAAATGCATGTATAAGAAATGTATATGGACCTGTGTGTCTGTAAGTTCATCAAAGCTAAGAGATGGATTATAGTGCTGTTGGTTTTATCTGAGTATTTTTTACTTCTTCCTTTGGAAAGAAACTCTGTTTTCAGGTATACCGTGTGAGCAAGTCAGTCAGACTAGCCATGTGAAATTATTACTTCTTTACCAGCCTTTAATAATTGACCTAGTGGTAAATATCTATCCATTTGACCATTCTGTACTAATAATTAGGGAAGTAAAACAGAACAGACAGAGATTGTGGATGGTGGTGGTGGTAAGTTATCCTTTGTCTACAAGTCAAATTAAGGTTTTTCCCCTGCTAGACTCGCTTCAATTCACCTCTTTTGAAAGATGGGGCAGTTTTAATTGTGACTTTAAGTCATTAAGTCTTTGCACTAACTCTTCAATAAACCCTTGTTTTTTTTCCCTCAATTAGCCTGAACTATTTACTGTTATTTGTAACATTATGTTCCTTAGTTGATTCACATTAGTACAACATGATAATTTCTTCCATTTTAATAGTTGAAATGTACAGAGTCCAGCTGTTTCTGAAAGCTATAGACAAGGACCTAGTACAAAAGCCTGGAAGATGAGATGTTTGGTCTTGACAAGAACAGGATTCATGAAAAGTCCAGGGGTTTCCTCTTTTCCCAAGCCTCTGGGGAAACAATAAGGAAAAGAGTAGCAAAAGAAACATGGTTTGTTGTAGAAATATATGAGACTATTCCCAATAGTGGGACATATTCCATGAATGTTAGAATTATGTGGATTATGAAATGTTTTCAAATCCACACATATACACCAATATATACCTCACATGTAACTTATGTTTGTACATTAGTTAAACAGTACTGCCAATGGGATATAAATAATATCTTCTGTGAGACTTGCATGGCTCTCAGCCTTGTTTTCTCAGGTACTGCTTAGCCTTCCCTTTGGGAAGATTTAGTAATGTGGTTATCCTAGACAGATAAAATAATTGCCTTTGTTTAATTCAAGTCACCTATCCTCTAGTAGTTTTGGTATCAAGTAAAGGATTAAAGAAATTCAATTTCCTGGATGAATTTTCATTTAAATAATGGGATCACTCTGGCTAGTGTTTGTGGTGGCCCTGCAGTCCTGTGGATACTAGCTGGGTGCCTGGGGTGCACTGATGTCACGCACTGGTCATAGAACACCTCGGAAACATCATAACTGCCCTAGTGGTGTCCTAAGCCCTGGTCAGAACAGTGACTTGGTGAGAGAAGAGGTCTCTTAAGTGACTTGTTATTGACAGCAATTTGTTTATATGGATTGTATTTGTTAATTTGATTCTTTGTCATCATCAACTGACACACTGAGAGTACAGTTTGGGGAAGAAAGTTATCTGATTTGAGTGACTCTTTAAAAAAGATTTGAACCATGAAGCATAAAGAAAAACAGAAACATCTGGAAAGGAGACATTTGAACAGAACTGAGATGTCAAGCGGTAAGTGCTGAATAGATTCTTTGGGCACAATGTTACCAAGTACTCTTTTCTAAAGATAGAGAATTTCTAGTTGTGGCAAGGAAGGGAGGGAGATAAAGAAAGGGAAAGAGAAAGAAGATAAGTGTGTGGCGGGGGGGGGGGGGGGGGGGGGGGGGGGGGGGGGGAACACAAAGGAGGGAAAGATATTGAGAGACTGAGAGGGATGTGTGCCTGCTGGTCTTTTTGAGGGCCCAGGGAGTCTGAGATTAAACTCAAATGGCCAGGTCCTTGTCTCTGTTATTTAGGACTTGTGCTACCTGCACCTTGTCCCTCTGGGTTACTCTGTTATAGACATAATGTTTGATAAGTATAATATTTCTTACAAAATGAATTTATTTCCCTTTATTTCATTTTTTGCTTAAGGGCATTAGTTAAGTAAATGGTGTTACCAGTTTTCTAATAATACTTTCTCCTTTTAATCAAGAAGAAGGTCTGGTTCATAGAGGTGAGGAAATGTTTTGAGAAAGGGAAGGAGAACTTTACACTTAAAGCTGTGAAGGTATCTGAGTATAATGTCAGATTTTTATTTTTTTTATTGAGGAGTAAAAATGAATTGTTTTGTCTTACACTATGAAGATGTAAATATGGGGCTCCTATATGAAATATAAGAAAAAAAATGGGATACGTGCACGAACACCCTTTAGCAATGATGATTAAATTAGAAAGAAAGTTTCGCTCTTTCCGGAAAAATGGGAAACTGAAATAGTTTGATTACTATGGAGATTACAAGTAAACAAGTAACCAGTAAATGGAAGAAGCCTTGGTTAGGGGTAGGAGGGAGACATATTGTAGCCAACCCCAAAGTTCCAATGGTAGCTCACATTCCTCAAGAGAACTGGTATTTCCAACTTGTTTAGGATTTGTGCATCCTCCAGTGTGCCCTTGAAAAAGGCTGTCTTTTCTCACTTTTAAAATAAAATTAGTGCATATTCAGACATGTTACTGAGTGTAAACTAGGAGACATGTAAATATACATACACACCTGTTCAGATATTCACACATATAGAACATACATAAGCCAAAGAAAATAGATTTTGGGATGTAGACAGAGCACAGAGTTGAGCTGAATGGTTCTGCCCTTTAGTCCACACAAGATTGCCCAGCACAAAAGACACTCCAACGCCTCTGCATTGTCTCTAATGTGATCAGCAGCAGAATCAATAAATTCCAAGAAAAACCACTTACAATGACTGTAGCAAGCCAAGGAGATCAGTAGAGAATGGTGTTCTATTTGAGGAAATAAAGGGAGAGGGCCTTAGGGGATGAGAGTTTTATCAGAGAAACATGGAAGAATATGTTCCTGTGAGCTGGGAAGGGCATGTCACAGGAACTTATGAAGCACTAACTTATCAAAGGCCCAATGTGTTAGGATCCTCAAGAACTGAACTTGAGATGGAGTACAGAGTTACCTAGGCAAAGACACCATCACGTCCATATATTTACATAGCCAATTCACATCCGCACTCATCCCTCATCAGACCATCTGCACACACTCTCCTCATTATTCATCTCCTTATCCTCTTCTGCATGCATCTAAATTATGCAAACTCGATTTTTGTCCATGCCATGCAAAGTTATAATTTCTCTGACTCCTAAGATCCTAGGTTAGTATCCCTGTTTTAAATTTTATGAAAATAGAAGGCCACAATGCATACTTTGTATATAGTTCCCTTTACTCATCACTTTATTTGTGTAATTTATCCATGCTGCGTATGACTTTGTTCAGGTTGGTATATGTATACTATCACATGAATATTATTTCTTTACTGATTATTTGGGTTACTTTCACTTTAGGATATGAGAAAAGGTGATGCTCTGGACATACTATTACATGTGTTTTTCAATGTAGACACATTTCTGTTTGATAAATGCTTAAGAATTAGACTGCTAGGCCTTAGTTCAATATTCTATCTTGATCCCTTCAGAACTAAATCTTGCATAATTTTACCATCTAGCGCAATCATGGGCACTACCCACTTCATCATATACATTCTTCTCTGCACTCTCATTTGCTTTGCCTCTCCACACAGTGCTTTTTCAAAGCCCATGCACTGCTTCTCTTAAGCACCTTAATTTTTATATTATGTTCTTTCAATATTCCTGTGCATTTTACACCCAAAATTCCAATAGCCTCAAAGAGAATATTTTCAGTAACAACATTCCATATCTAAACTGAAGAGTGTATGAAACACACACAAATCCATAATTATAGGAAATGAATCTACACACATAAAAATGTGCTGAACTATACACAGACACAAAGCACATACACCATCCTCAGTCACATGAAACTCATCGCATATTCAGATTAACAAATACCAAATAAACACACCTTAGTTAAACTGTAACCCAGATTTAACCAACATGGTAAGAACTTAAATATCAAGCACATAACATTCACTCTACCATTTTGATAAAAATGTGAATAATTTATATACCACACACATTCATGAGACATGATCTTAACAAACAGTTGAATGAGAAGTGAACTTGTATGAAAATGAGACAGTGACATAATTATGAATAGTTAGCTTCTTAAAAAAAAAACATTTACACCTCTCTCTAGATATCTAAGTCAATATATCCATAAAAAATAGATAAAAATATGTTACCAGAAACTGTATAAACACACTATTTATATGGCATTTACTATAATACATTTTTGTTTAAACCTTGAAATATTAGCTGTTAAAGTATGGATACATTTTTGAGCATACACTCTGTATACATACATTTTGTTTCATAAAATTTACACCACATACTCCCTAATTATGTAATTTTTCCATAGGGAAATAGAGTTGATATTTAAAATTTAGTTCCTGCATACTGTCTTTTGAGCATGGTTCAAGTTCTGATAATCTGTATACATGTCCAGTAATATCACAAACAAGATACCCAATCCCACTGAAAACCAACACACACAGCATTTTAATAAGTATTCGCTGATAGATTGGAGTAAATGGAATTTTAAATGTGAAAAACAACTTAATTTCTAGGTGAACAAGTGTCATGGGTGGTAATGATGCCTGACATGTAATGCCCACTCAACATGTGATTTTGAATTGGTCCAGACCCCTGAGAATGCCTCATCTCAATGTTCTTTTTTATTCCACTGCTCAGGAGCCATCAAGCCTCAAGAGACTGCTCCTCAACTGCAGTCATCTGTGGAGGCCCTAGCCTGTAGTCAGGCAGCAGGAGCAAAGTCATCTTCTTCTTCTGAATATGTCACCTGTGCCTCCTCTCAATCCAAGCTTCCCCGTCATGATCAGGATGGTAAGGAATATAAAAGGGGGGATCTGAGTTTGGACCAAAGGTGCAGCTGAGCTGCTCAGCCCAGTCTCTATTTTGCTCACATTCCTTCAAAAACAGTAAAGGGATTTGGGGCAGATAAACTAGTAATAAAACTTCTGAAGAGGCACTAGTCAAGAGTGTGCCACCAAGGACAGGCCAAGGTCCCTCAGGACAAAATTCCAACATAGAAGCACTGGGACAATTGTGGGTGAGCTAGTGGACAGGGCCAATGTGTGTGTGTGTGGGGGGGGGGGGGGAGTTAAAGCATAGCCTTCTCCTAGAATAGCACAAACACCTATCATTACATATTCATATAGGCCCTCATTCCCCATCTATTATTCCCATTCTCTAGTAGCATTACCTAGGTATATCTTAGCCTTTTTCCTTCACATATTTGCTTTCAGACTCAACCACTTACACACTAATTCCATAAATAACTCACTTCCCTTCACATGGATATCATCTTCAAGTTGAATTCTAGAAAACTCATATGCCCTAAAGTAAATTTTTATTTGTTGTCTTTCTCATCCATATGACACTTGAGCCACCACACCCTCAGATCTTCATGGAGTCGAACATTCTGATAGCTCAAACATAACTCTTGCAACACTCTCAGCCTCACTGTTTCATAGTAAGAACAGGTATTCCTACACTGTTCTTATGTGACATCACACCACATGACCTATATGCACATACTTATTTGCCATTCTTTTAGTAATATCCCAGTCACTCACCCAATAGGACCCAGAACATACATACAACTCACTAGAACATGAATACAAAGCTACCTCCTCATTCTCATATAGTTGTACCATGTAAATACCTCAAATAAAGTACACCAAGACAGAATTCTAAAATCTGTCATATAGATGTACTTTCAGGCCACATGCTCATGTAGTGCATGGCCTTCTTAAAGCCTTGATACACAACGTCTTGTTTCCTCATGTTTGAAAATTAATTTTCTAGGAACCTACCAATTACATGGGAATGTCAACAGTCTTGAATCTCATGAGAGGCTTGTACCCTGGCCTATAAAGAAAAGATAGTGAAGGGAGGGGCACAGAGGAGGTTTGTATGATGATGCCTAGAAGGGATTCCTGTCATTTCTATTCATTTTCCATTGTATCAATGTAGTCTCAAAGCAACCATACAATCCTCAGTCACACAAACCTCATCCTATATTCAAATGCGCAAACACCAGTTCAATCACATATTGAACACTAATTTAGTTTTAATCAACACATTATAAACTTAAATACCAAGCACATTACAGTTAACATTCCATGCTGCTAAAATTGTAAATAATACATATACTGCACATATTCATGAGACATGATGATAATCTTAAACAGTAAAATAATCAGCAATGAACTTGTTTAAGACTGAAACTGGTACAGTCGCATAATGGCTAATTTCTTCAAAAAAATATTTCCATGTATAATAATTATATATATATATATATATATATATCTATATATATATATATATATAAATTTAGATATCAATATATACATACATGCAGAATGCTTATTAAAACTTGCACCACATAGCTCTTAATTGTATAATATTTTCATAAGGAAGTAGAGTTGATATTCCACTTTTAGTTCATAGATACAGTCTTTCTGGTGTGATTCTAAGTTTTTAATAATCTGTATAGATCTTCAGAAATATCACAAGCAAGACACCAAATTCCATTGTCACCCACCAAACACACCATTTTTATTAGTGCTTACTTATGGGAGTAAATGGGAAAATCAACTTAATTGCTAGGTGAACAAGTGTCAATGGTGGTAATAATGCCTGACATGTCCAACAAAATGTTGTTTTAGATTTTCACAGACCTCAGAAAATGATTCATCTCAATGTTCTTTTTTATTCCATTGCCCAGGGCCCTATAACGCCCAAGAGGATGCCCCTCAGCATCAGTCACCAGTGGAGGCCCCAGCTTGTATTCAGGAAGCAGGAGGAGATTCCTCCCCCTCTGAATATTTTACCTGTGTGGCCTCCCCTTCCAGGCTTCCCCATTCTGATGTGGATGGTAAGAAATATCAGTGGTGTAACCTGAGCCTGGTCAATAGATGCAGCTGATTTACTCAACCCAGTCTTCACTTAGTTCAAAAACAGGAAATGGCTTTGGGCAAACAGACTAGTACTAAGGCTTATGCAGCAGACCAAGCCAGGAGTGAGCCTTCATGAAAAGGCTACAATTCCTTGGTGCAATTTCCATCAGAGAAACATTAGGGCAGCTATGGCTAAGGCAGTGGATCCTGCTGAAGTGTGCATGGGGGTTTACTCCCAGGTCTCAGGTGAGTTCAAACTCAGATTCTCACAGTCACACGTACTCATTCATGCCAGGTAAGGCTCCGTTTCTCCTCCTCTTCACTTATTCTTTCAAATATACACACTTTTCCCCTTATCTATCATTCCCATTCTCTAGTAGCATTATATCCTACCATTCATTCCTTCACACCATTATCTTTAGTATATAAAATATATACTAAAATATAAACATCACGGGTGTTAATATTTTACACATTTATTTACCCATTTACACATTAATTCCATAAATATTTCATGGAATTATTTACAAATTTACACATTAATGCCATAAATATTTCATGTCCTTATACACATCTCTAGGTCAAACTCTAGAAAATCTATATGCCCTGAAGGAAATAAATTTCCCTCTATTGTCTTTCTAATCCATTTGCCACTTAAGTCACAGGATTTCAGACCTTCATAGAGCTGAACATTTTGAGAGTTCATACACACCTCTTCTAACACTGTCAGCCTCACTGGCTCATAATAAGAACTGGTACCATACTGGCACTTGTTCACATGGGCTGCGATACCACAAAACAAACATCTTTACATTCATTCATTCATCCCCTTTTACCAACATCAATAATCCTCACCAGGTATATTCCAAAATATGCATCCAATTCCATAAGAACTTGCATACAAAGCTATATATTCATTCCCATATAGTTATACTATGTAAGCACTTCAAATAATGCACTCCACCCACAAAATTCTGAAATATCACATGCATGTAGATATACTTTCACCCCACATGCTCACATAGTGCATGGCCATTTAACTCCTACAGACTTCACATACTTATTCTAGTTTTCTTATGTCTGCAATTCTCTTTCCTGCAAATGAATCAATTACATTAAAATGTTTCCTCTCTTGGAATCTTTGAGAAGAGTATGTCCAAATCACCTGGGAAACTGAAGAACATGGAGGCTCAACTTGAAAATGTGTAGGGCAATACCTGGAAGTGGCACATGCCATTTCTATTCATTTTCCATTGAAAAATTGTAATCTCATAGTCAGATGTTTGTTTTGTGGTATCGCAGCTCATAGTGCCACTTCCCTGCAAGGGAAGCTGATAATTAGTATAGTTGGGAGGGTTTTCTTCCTTAGATAACTTATCCTGCATCTCTACTAAAGACATGCTAACTGGTGCTACAAGGATGGACTATCAGCAGGATGCAAAGGGAGACTACAGAAATGATCTCAGTAATTCTGCTCGCTTGTGAACAACACGGCTGACAAAAATGAACTTCAATTGTTTTGTATCTTCTTTAACGTGGTCAGCAGTGGACATAATAAATTCCAATTTCAAAAAAACAAAACAAAAAACACCACATATAAAAGACTAGAACAAGCCCAAGGAAAACTGATATTTCAGGAAATAGTGGGACAGAAACTGAGGGGATGAGAGTTTTATCAGAGAAACATGGAAGAATATGGGATGAACCAGTCATGGGCATGTTTATATCCTGGGATGTGTAAAAGCATTAACAACTTAAATCAGGCTAAATGAGGAAGGATCCTCAAGAACTAAATTTGAGATGGAGTACAGAGATATCCAGTTGAAGACCCCATCATGTCCATCTATTTGCATAGCCAATATTTTCACATTCACATTCATCCCTCCTCAGACTCTCTGCAGTCACTCTCCCCATCATTCACTTCCTTATAATCTTCCACATACACCTAAATTTGTCATGCTCTATTTTTGTCCATATCATATCAAGAGTTATACTTTCTCTGACTCCTAAGACCCTGTATTAGTTAGTATATCTGATTTTAAATCTTATGCAATTTAGAAGGGCACAGTACATATATCTAGTGCTTTTATATCATTATATCTGTGTAATTCATCCATGTGTGTGACTTAAGTTTTGTTCATTCTTGGCATTTGTTTATCATTGTATGAATATTATTTCTTCATTGATTATCATTTTCAAACCACTTCGGTTGGTTATAGTCTTGGACTACTTGAAAAGGTGATGTTCTAGACAATCTATTACATGTATTTTTCAATATGGACATACTTCTGTTTGGTGAATGATTAGACTTAGACTTCTGGGCCTTAGTTACCATATTCTATCTTACCCCCTTCAGAACTCAACCTTTCATACTTTAGCTTTCTAATGAAATTGTGTGTTACTGTCCACCTAATCTTACATACACTTCTCAGTAATCTACCTTTTTTTTCAATGCCCAGTGATTCTCTTGTACTCCCTTATTTTCACATATTTGTGTTATTTAATTATTCCCTCACATTTTGCAAATGTCTCAAAGATAATTTCTAAGTAACAACATTCCACTCTGAAGCACAAGTCCACATTTATAGGAAAAGCAAGCCCATACTTATTGGAAATGCAATCTACACACATAAATATGTGCTAAACTAACACACAGAAACAAAACAAACATACCATCCTCATCCACAAATAAACATTTGCAAACACCAAATAAATCATACATTTAACCTTAAATGCAGTTTTAACCAACAGATTATAAACTTGAACACCAGGCATCATACCATACTGCTACAAATTTGAATAGTACATATACCATACACATTCATGAGGCAGCCAAAGCCAGTTTGGCTCAGCAGTAGAGCATCAGTCTGCAGACTGAAAGGTCCCAGGTTCGATTCCGGTCAAGGGCATGTACATTGGTTGTGGGCACATTCTCGGTAGGGAGTGTGCAAGAGGCAGCTGGTCGATGTTTCTCTCTCATCGACATTTCTAGCTCTCTATATCTCTCCCTTCCTCTCTGTAAAAAATAAATAAAATATATTTTTAAAAATAAATAAATAAATAAAAAACATTCATGAGGCAATGATGATACTCTTAGAAGTTAAATAATAAGCATTGAGCTTGGTTAACACTGAAACAGTGGCAGTGATGTAATAATAATGAATAATATCTTTAAAAATAAAAATGTATCATTTTACATCTTTATCAGTATAAATAGCAATATATAGATAGATGATAGATAGATGATAGATAGATAGATAGATAGATAGATAGATAGAGGTGCTGAATGCTTTAAGAACTCACACCATATGTCCTCTTACTGCACAATTTTTCAGTTCCTAAATACTATCTTTCAGTCATTGTTCATTTTTAAAAACATATGTATAGAGCTCCAGAAATACCACATGTAACATAGCCAATCCCACTGACATCCACCAAACACACAATTTAATAACTGTTAACCATAGTTTGGAGTAAATGGAATCTTAAATGGAAAAGTCACTTTAATTTCTTTTAGAACAATTGTCATGTGTAGTAATGATGGCTGGCATATAATGATCCATTCTATATGTAGGTTTTGAGTTGACACAAATGGCAGAAAATCCCTCATCTCAATGTTTTTTATTCCATTACCCAGGACCCTGCAACACTCAGGAGGATGCGCCTCAATGTCAGTCACCTGTGGAGGCCCCAGCCTGTAGTCAGGCAGCAGGAGTAAACTCCTTTATATCTGAATATTCCAGCTTTGGATGTTCTCCATCCAAGCTGTCCATTCCTGATGAGGATGGTAAGGAATATGCAAAGATAAGATCTGGGGTTGGTCAAGAGGTGCATCTCAGCTGCTCAGCCTACTGGCTACTTAGTTTACTTTCTCCTAAAAAACAGAAAAAGGCTTCATGGCAGAAAGGCTAGTACTAAGGCTTCTGCAGAGGGACAAGTAGGGAGTGTGCCTTCAAGGACAGGGCAAGGTCATTCAGCCCAAATTTCCAACATAGCAGCCCTAGGACAGCGGTGACTGAGGTAGAGAACAGTGCTGACATGTGTAAGGGGTTTTACTCAGAGCCTTCCCCTCAGATGAGCACACAATCAGATCCTCACACTCTCTCACACATCTGTCCTCCATATCAGGTAAGGCTCTGTTTCTCCTTTTCCCTTGTTCTCTCATATACACAGGCCTTCCTTCCTCATCTGTCTTTTTTTTCTAGCAGCATTACCTAGATACACCCTTACCATCATTCCTTCACACAATCATTTCCATACTCATCCATTTACACATTAATTCCATAAACAATTCACATCTCTTCACCCAGTTAACCTCACATGCCCTGAAGGAAATGAACTTCCATCTGTTTCCTCTCTAATTCATATGGCATTTCAGCCAGCCAGCCTTTGGACTTTCATAGAGCTGAATATTCTGAGAACCCATACACATGTCTAACACCCACTTCTCAAAATCTCATAATAAGAACATATATCACTTCTGAACTTGTTAACATGCTCTCATACCATGTAACAAATATGCACAACCTCAATCAACATCCCCTTTTATCACAATTTAAAATATTCCCAGATATGTCCCAGTATATACCACTCCACAAGAATATGCATATGATATATCCTCATTCCCATCTTATTACACTGTGTAAATACATCAGATATAGCATACCACACACAGAATTTTGAAATATCATGGATAGATTACTTTATTTCACATGCTCATGTAGGTTATATCCATCTTAATTCCTACAGTCCTTACACACATATTCTACTTTTCTTTTGTTTGAAATATTTTTTTTCCTAAGAATGCTGGAGATATATGTATCCTAGGACTTGAAGCAAAAGGAGAATTCCTTTGACACTTCACATACCTGCATTCCTTCCCAGTCGGTTAATAATGAGTCCTACATATCCTCAGTGCAGAGGACAGATCTAAGGCTCAGGACAATTTACTATACACGAGTACAATTGAAAAGGGGTGTGGCTGTCTTATGCCATATAGAGGAAGGATTGGAGTCTCCCTCAAAAAAGATCAGAATGGAAGAAATGACCTATATTGTAAAGGTCCATGAAAGTGTCTTAATCTCATATATCTGAGAAGAAAACCCAATTGACCATGAGCACAGCTTAGAGATCAGAGCCCAGGAAAAAGGGGAGGAGGCTAACAGTCCAGTACAGCCTCCCGCTCTGAGCAGGTATCCCAGCACTAAGACGCCTGAGTGGCTGGTGGCCCAGGACAGTGGGTTCAGGTGCATGGCCTGCTGCCGGGTGTTCCCCAGTTTAGAAGTCCTCCAGGAGCATGTGGAGTGCGGGGTCAGGGAGGGCTTCAGCTGCCATGCTTTCCATAATGCCATGGCTCATCTAAAGAACAAATATCTTAAAGATGAACAAGAGAACCAAGGAGGCAACATGTAGATGCCAGATGGAAAGCACTTTGCCATGAAGACCACCACCTTGTACAACTAAACAAACTGCTTTTCTGCTCCTAAAAGAGAAAGTGAGGCAGGTTAGACTCCACTGAGGAGGCTTCATTCCCTTCAAGCAGACAAAGTATCCAAACTTTTTTCTCAATATCTACCACCACCATCTGTACACCCTTACCACTGTCTCAGCACACAGCCCCTTGTAATACCACCCACCACTTCCCTGAGGGGCAAGAAGGCAAAACACACCATCCCATATACTGCCTTTCCCTCTATCCAACTTATATATCTGCATATACCAACCATGAATACATGCTTTCATATTGTTTACATAAGACTGTAAATAATACAGAATTTTGATGGTACAGATTGCAATACCCCTTCCCTTCCCTGAATTCACCCCTCACATTTCCAGGAAAGTGATACTTGTTAACAATTTTACATATTTTTCTATATCCTTTTTTAAAAGGAAGATATACCTTTTCTAACATCATCTTCTAATGTATTAACCTGCACAATTATTTGACTGGAAGATAGACATACTTATTATTGAGAGAGAAAAATATACTATATAAAACCAAAATGGAAGATAGACATACTTATTATTGAGAAAAATATACTATATAGATAAAACCAAAAGCAACTACCATATTTTGTCATGTGTAGATTTGTATACTCGTCACTGCAATGAAGATAGCGGTGCTGTATCACCACAGCAATTTTATCATTTATAATCACAACCATCATCCCTTTCTAATCCTTGGCATAGCTTATTTTGTGAATTTTCTAAAAATACAACAAACTGAGAAAAAAAATATTTACTCATATCAGAGATGGATAATTTCCTTAATAGACAAAAAGCTTCATGAAAATAATACCTAAAAAAAAAAACCCCACTAAAGAATAGTTTCACTAAAACTACATATAATATTTAACATATGTAAAAGTATATAATGGCACTCATCAGAGTTATAACTATGTTCTTATTGGGTTGTTTGAAAATTATGTAGGGAAAACATTATTATTTATGGAAATACAACTTAGTACAACTTCAATAGAGACAAAATTGCCAATGTGAAAATTTTAAATGTATATATTGTATTCTCAGCTTCAATTTAAAAAGTATTTTTATATTTGAAATCATATACATGTGCACACACACACACACATTCTATATAATAAAGAGGTGATATGCAAATTGACCTTCATACCCTCATAAGATGGCTGCCTACAACCAGGCCAGCAGGGGGGTTAGTGAGGGACGACCAAATGACTGAACAGCAGGCTGGGTGGGATGACCAGACCAGCAGGGGCGGGGTCGGGGGGGATGCGGCATGAGGGGCAACCAGTCTAGCAGGGAACGGGAAGTTGGGGGTTATCAGGTCAGCAGAGGGGAGGCAGTTGGGGGTGATCAGGTGGTACACAGAGGCAGTGAGGGGTGATCAGGTTGGCAGTGCGGGGGTGGGGGGGAAGGGGAGCAGTTAAAGGTAACCAGGCAGACAGGCAGGTGAGCGATTAGGAGCCAGCAGTCCAGGATTGTGAGAAGGATGTCTAACTGCCAGTTTAGGCCTGGGGATCTGGCCTACACCAGCAGTTGGATATCCCCCAAGGGGTCCGGGATTAGAGAGGGTGCAGGCTGGGCTGAGGGAACAACCCCTATGCATGAATTTCATGCACTGGGCCTCTCGTAATAAAAGCATAATATGCTAATTAGATTGGACAAATGTTTTTCCAAACCTTCTGGACAAAGCTGGGGCTACGAGGGGCAATGAATTTCATGCATTGGGCCTGTGTGTGTGTGTGTGTGTGTGTGTGTGTGTGTGTGTGTATCATGTTTATTGTGGCATTTTATAACATTTTTTAAATAGCAAAACATTGGAAACAAGCAAATTATTCATCATCAGATGACTTACTAAATATATTTACAGAGTGGGATACTAAAAAGCTACTTTAAAAATGAAACAGGTACAGGAAAAGCTCCAAATATATTTTAAAGTAAAAATCTTGTATATACTGTATTCCCATTTTTAAAAAATTTTCAAAAAACCTAAAATCTATGTATCTATCTATCTATCTATCTATCTATCTATCTATCTATCTATCTTGATTCATTCTTTAAAGGCTCTGCTCATTGGATTTCAAGTTTTAAAGGTTTACAATAAATATTGAGGTTTGGTTATCTGAATCTCTGTTTATGTGATGTTAATTAGCCACTGTCTCTAGCCTAAATATTTATTAGTTTTCTAACCTTTGGTTGGATTGCTAACATTAAACATCCTCTGATTGTTGTATTGATGTGATGATAATATGGGCTGACTGAATTGTTTTCCAGTACATTTATTTTAAGTTGTGAATGTTAATGCCCAGTTGCTATTAAGATAAAATTTGTCTCTCAATTTAAAATAAAAATGTGCCACCACATAATCAAAATAGATTCTGTTTTAGCAAAATTAAACTTGGATTTGAAGCACACTTTTTTTTATTATTTTTCAATGATGATAATTAGCAACAAGCAAATCAATATTTGAAAGGGATACTTGCACAAATCAAAATATTTAACAAATGGGACTATGAATTAGATCACTTCACTGTTGTAAATATTTGTCTATTAAAAATTTTTTCAATCTAATATGTTTTACTTTTCATTTGAGCTTTTACATTGGTAAAATGGAACTTAAATCACATTAAATTATATACTAATCAATGACAAGATTTATTTATATTAATAAAAGAAATTAAATGCAGTATCATAGACATTGATTAAAAGTGTTTTATGAAATAACTTCATGTATGGCATTTATGTTAATTTAAGATAAGAGAAGTTAGTGTCAAGGCACAATACCTATTTAGTTTTATATTTTAGAAGCTATTGTTAGTTTGAAGAAATAGCATATGTGGGATTTAATTATAGATGTTTTATTTGGAGGGTTGTACATGCATAAAACCCTTTGTGAGTTTCTAGGGAAATTCTTGTTCACACAGATGAAGCTAATGTAAATCTCCTGCCTTTTCTCTTCATAAGTGGAGTTACTTGCAGAATAGCTCCTGTTGAAAGAGCTTGCCTTCATTATCCTCCTAGACTCTTTGTACACTCAACTTTTAATATCTATACACACTGTTTAGGTAATCATTTAATACAAAGTATACTGGGTGTATTTTAATCTTTCAATATCAGATAAATTTACTAAATAAAAATTAACATGCAAATAAAACTGCTATTTTCAGAATTATTTGATTTACGAACATAATAGACATCATGTTATTCTGTAAATGAGTGCTTAATGCAATGACATGGGTATTCAGATATATTTTAGAAAAGTGTTCATGAAGGTAGGATCCCAGAGTTCTTATGAATTAATATATGTGTTCCATTTATTATATGCTATCTCACTACAACAATACTTTTAATAGTTTAATTTAGCACTGTCCATATCTTATTAAATGTATTTTCTACATAATTTTTTTCTAGAAGCCAAAAAAGCTACAAACCAATAAAGTACCTAGAAATGAAGAGTGTGTGTGTGTGTGTGTGTGTGTGTGTGTGTGTGTGTGTGTGTTGGGGAGGGGGGCGGGGATCTACTAAAATAGCATCCTATTAAAAAAAAATGATGTCCTTATTCCATGCTCCATGAAACAGCTCTAAGTGAAGTCAACAGTGATCTGTTTTGTTATATCTCAAAGTACTTATTGTACTTAAATTGTCAACACCATCAACAATATGAGCAGTTCTTAAGACTTTTTTCCCTTGACATATTACACAATACTTCCCTGATTTTTGCTTCTATATCTCCTCTATCACTCCTTCAATACCTACATTTTATTCTTAAAGTATCCCCTTTTCTTGTGCCATACTTTTTCCATCCAACATTTCATTCATGCACGTAATTTAAATTATTCCATATACAGATCGTTCACAAATGTGTATCGAAGTACAGACCTCTCCTTTGAGATCTAGACTTTCTTACCTAATTTGTACTATAACATCTGCTCTTTGATAGCTCATGGATGAATATGTCCAAGAGTGAACTTAAAGTCTTCAATCAAAATACTAGTTCTCTGCCAATGCCCCGTATCTCAGTGAAAGACATTGTTATCAATCCAGGCACACTATTCAAAACCTGGGAGTCAAGCTTGACACATCCCTCTACTTCATCCTCTATATCCAATCTATTAACAAGCCCTGCCAATTTTACTTGATATACCTTAAAACCTATTCTGAAAGCATCTCTGCAAAGAAATGCTTTCAGATTAGGAATTAAATAACATTCTAGAATTAACACTCTTAAGAAGAAATTATCATAAAAGATCCAAGAGACCTAAAATTAAGTCACCAGCCTACCAGACGGGCTGAGGTTTCTCCTAAATGAGAAATTCTTAAATAGTTTACAAATTTTAGACCACAGTGCCTTCATCTGTAAAGATTTACTTTTTAATTTAAAAACTATTATTTTACCCCTTTAAGTATAGGCTGGGTTATAATTGGCCAAAGAGTTCCAATATTTCAGTAGCTCAAAATAATAAAGTTTATTTCCAATTTATGTTTCATGTCCATCTTAGGTGGTCAAGATTCTGCTGTACATCATTCATATCCTAGAGCCATTAAGTATATGATATTAGAAAGAAAGAATACTCTGGATCAACATAAAAAAGAAAACTGTATCAGCCGTTCAAATATTCTGGCTCAGAAGTAACACACATCACTCTTGCTTACAAATCATTGGCCAAAACTACTCACATGTTCATCCCCGTTATAAAAGGGCCAGAAAATATGTTCCAAGAGGGAAAGATCTGGAAATATTTTCTGAACAGTACTAATAACTTCTTCATTACTCAAAAGTAATGTTTCAATAAGCAAAATCTGAAGCTTTAAATTATTTGGATATATATACATTAGGCACTAATCATATTGATAGCCATTTTTTTGTACCTGGGAATATTATATATTAAATTATCCACAATTTCAATTAAATTATATATTTAAATAACACTTCT